AGTATGAAGACACAAAACTATCGGGAAAGAAACGAAAGGAAGAATTAACAAAACAGTCATCAGACCAATACTGACATATCCGGTAGAAACACAACCTGACACAGAGAGGACAAAAAGGATGTTAGAAACAGCAGAGATAAAAACACTTAAAGTAGTTTATGGTAAAACACTGTAGGGCAGAGCTAGAAGTACAGAGAAACGACGTATGTCAATTCGTCCGCCTAGGCAAGATAGAGAATATCAAGGACTGAGTAAGAAATAGAAAAGTAAAATAAAACGATCATTAAGAAACATGACAATAATAAATGGAGTAGTAAAGACAGAAAGAGAAAGTTCCCAATAGAAAGACAATCAGGAGGAAGACAACGAAAACTATGGAACTATGGAAAAGAAGATTCTATATATATATATATATATATATTATATATATATATATATATATTTATATATATATATATATATTTATATATATATATATATATATATATATATATATATTTATATATATATATATATATATATATATATATATATATATATACAGCATCGAGAAAAGAAGTACGACCGTCAATTCAAAAACCGTCAATCCAAAAACCGTCAATCCAAAATAAATTAAGGATCATTCAAAAAGTGGTGGGTTTTTTCGGTCAAAAGGTGGAGAAAAAAGACAAAGAAGGTGGCTACTTCATCTATTTATTTCGCTTATCTAAGACGTTTCGCTTTCTAACCAGAGAGCATTATCAGTTCATCTAAAAAGAACAATATGAAAAACCAAACATCCATAAAAAAGTTATTACAAGTATGTTACCTTAAAAAGACATGTATCAGTCAATGATATTAAACATGTAAAGAAGCTTACGACAATTTACATTATAAGATCATGTTGTATAAAAAATTAATTGAAACTAGATACAGTTTACAAATTAACAAACTTAGCAGAGAAAAAGACCATGTTGTACATGTATATAAAAAAATTATGTAAAAAACTTCAGTAAAAAACAATACAATTAATATGCAGAGAACCAAAAAGATCATAAGATGCACATCCAACAGTATATTATTAGCTAAATTTAGTTTTAACTTTAGGTAACATTATTAAATAGATTAAGATTGAAATATAATATTTAAAAGTATAACGAAGTTACCACTCTTTAGCTTATTAGGTGCTGCAGGTAAATGGACGCAACAGGTATAAAGCCCATGCCAACAACGAGAAAAGACAGTGGCCTTGAGGTCAGAAAATGAATAAAATGAAAATATCACAGAAAAGCAAGGCGAATTACCAACCTCTAGTGCAATAGAGCGGTACATTTATAGAATATGGTAAATTTGGGTGACAACTTCAGTCTTGGGTCAGTAAAACTCAAAAAATGAAAGGAAAAGCTGGTTAAGATCACCATTTCCCCCCAGTGATTGGTTGAGAGAAACAATGAACAAACAAGCGAGGTCAATCCAAAATATCATATATTAAGAAAGTCTATGCTGTGGCTGGTTAGCCAGCCACAGGTGAAGATTGATTCAACTTTCAAAGTCCAACTATGAACCTTGGACTTTGCATCTCTGCATTTTATAATTTTGTTAATTAGTGATGTTATTTGTTTGTTCTTTTTTGCTCCACAATATTTCAGTAATTCGTTTGGTATTCCATCTTGACCTGCAGCTTTTCTGTTCTTCAGCTCTCAAGTGTCCTGTGTTCATTTCCTGTGTTTTTATATTAACCTCTTCGTTTGTGGTAATTTGTGGTGTTTCCAATTATAGCGTCATTCTAGCTTATCTGTAAATGTCTTCTTTAGTAGTCAATCCATCTATCATTTTCTAGGTGTTTCGAGTTTAATAGTTCCTTTACCTTACTAAGAAACAGCAGCCTCAACTTAACGCTTAGATATCGCTTTGTAAAATGTTATATTTACTCCATACTGCCATATGGTGTAGAAACCTGGACCATAAAGGCCAATGTAATGAACCGATTGAAGGCCTTTGAAATGTGGGTATTTAGAAGACTACTTAAAATTCCCTGGACAGATCACACAACAAATGTCGAAGTATTAAATCAAATAGGCAGAGAACGAGAATTGCTGTCAATATTAAAAAGAAGAAAAACTGCTTATCTGGGTCATATATTTCGAAATTCCAAGTACCAGGTCTTAAAGCTTATTATGGAAGGGAAGATAGAAGAAAAACGAGGCATCGGAAGAAAGAAATACTCATGGCTTAAAAACATAAGAAATTGGACAAACCTCGATGCCCATGCACTTTTTAGAGCCACACAAGATCGAGAGGAGTATGCCAGAATTGTCGCCAACATCCATTAATTGGACAGGGCACCATGAGAAGAAGTTCCTTTACTTCTGTTATTTGACTTCTTACCAAGCGTCTTATTTCCTTTTGAGATCATAAAAATCATGATCGAAAGACATTAACATTAAACATTTTTTACCTGTTTACAAGTGCGTGTGTTTCGTTTCTTATTGTCTTGTAATTATTGTTTGCTTCTTGTGTTTGAGTTAACATATATTTCAGGTAAGCTTTTTTCTTTTGTTAACATTTTTCATTCACTTCTGTGCAAAATATGGAGTTCTTTGCATTAAAAACGATTTATTTTTATTTATCTTTCTTTTGCCAAGAACTTCTTTAGCTCAGGTTAAAATGTTTGACCCAATCTTTGCCCAGCTTTCTTCGACTCCATCACTTTCTGTGATATTTATGTTTCTTCTTCTTTTTTTATTCTCTTTTGGAATATGCAATTTTGGGAACTCCTCCTTTACTCTTTCAACTTGTATCTTTGTGGTCTATATATTAAGATGTTTTTATTATCATATACATATATATGTATTTTCCAACAGAATTCGATCATAGACTATATAATAACGAGAAATCAAAATTTAAAAGCCAAGACTGCAGAGTAAAAAGAGGATCTAATGTGGACAGATCACTACTTAGTAAGTATTTAACATCTTTTTAAATCTAGATTAGAAAAGAAACTAAATGAGATGCAAAGAAATATGGATGTAGAAAAACCTCACAATACAACAACCACAAAACGGTAATAAAAATTGATTATAAAGTATTGGGAACAGAGAACAAGTGTCTATACAGAGAATATGTAAAATGGGGGTTACAAGTCAGCATGATGAAAACAGAATATTTAGTTATCAATTCAGATGAATGTTTTGAAGTGTTGTTAGACGAAGACATGGAAATCAAAGAAGTGAAAAAAATAAAATATTTAGGTGCACTCATTGATAAGAATGGCTTGGGAGAACCGAAATTAAACACCGAAATAATCAGGGATGTAAAATTGTAGGATGTCTGAACTCCTTATGGTGGGATCGCAACATTTCTAAAAGAAACAAAAAAGAATAGGGCAAACTATGGTTGAATCATTTCTTTGTTATGGATCTGAAGTATGGACAATTAATGCAGACCTGAAGAGAAGATTGTTGGCAGTTGAAATGAATTATTTGAGAAGAAGTGCTAGAACACCAAAGCTGGAAAGGAAGACTAACGAATCTATAAGAAATAACATGAATGCTACAGAAATGGTCATTGACAGAATAGCAAGAAGAGGTATAAACTGATTTAGACTGGGGTTAAGATTGGCGGAGGAGAACGGAAATACGGCGATAGCCGTCTCTAAAATGTGTTGTTTGTGTGTGTGTGTGTGTGTGTGTGTGTGTGTGTGTGTGTGTGTGTGTGTGTGTGTGTGTGTGTGTGTATGTGTGTGTTTTCATTCAGACAGTACCAATTTATGACTTTCTATTTATGCTGCTATTATTGCTCGTATATCAAAAACTTAAGAAGGTTGCTAAAACTGTCATAGAGTTTTATTCCCAAGTGTTTTTAAAATTGTATTTGTATTGTTCTTTCTGTGAGAAAAAGATTGCTACGAGCGCGTTTAAATTCAGCAAAATATTATTTATTGATTGTATTCGATGAAGCAGAGTGCTGATAACACCTTTGGAGCCATTTCTCACTTTGACGGTATTGATTCCTATCACATAACAGTGTTATCTCTGTACACGAAATTACTTTGAATCTATTGTTTATAAAAATCACAAAAGTAGCGTCACTTACTCGATAAATAATCATCTGAGTCCCATGCACATTTTTAAATTATTTTTTTAAAAAAATCATGAATGTGTTGCTTGTGTGAGTCCATTTCAAATAGGTGAAGAAATAATAAATTAGACTTACTCACAATCAATTTAATTTAACTATCAGACGACCGGTTTCGCTTTCTACAATATGCAAAGCATCTTCAGGTCTCGATACAAAGTTAAATAAATGCTGAAATGATAAAAACCCATATTAGGGTGTTGTCTAATAAAGATAAACAATTTAGATATTATAAATTACAATAATTATGCCAATATTACATGTCTGTGGTTTTATTTCAAAATGAGTAAATTGAATAAAAAGGTATAAAAAGTTTTAAAAGTTTAAACAGACAAGTGTTAAAGCCCCATAAATTGTTATAAAATAATCTATTAGATTGTAATAAATTAATAAATGAGCAAATAAATAAACATTACTTACATGCCGGTAATCTATTATAGAGTGTTTGTCTGAAGTCTGAAGCTTTGCATATTGTAGAAAGCGAAGCCGGCCGTCTGATAGTTAAATTAAATTGATTGTGAGTAAGTCTTATTTATTATTTCTTTACCTGTTTATTTTTTTAAATCTTAAGACTACCGAAATGTCAAATAAAAAAATCGTTAGAGTCATCATCTCATAGTTAGGTCAGGGGCTTATTGACTAACGTATTATGTACACTATTGCTAACACAAGTTGTTACTCTATAATACATATAACATATAACCCACAATTTTCAAGTATTCACCAGCAACTAGTTTCATTTTTAAGGAAGTATAATTTTTTACCAGGGAGGTGGAGTTCTTACAATCTGAATAAGCTTTAACTATTTTTGTAATGCTTTTGCTTATTGCATTAATGCGTAAACACATTTTTACAAAACAATCAAGAATTCTTTTTTATTTTAGTACTCAGAAAGCCAGCCCTCTCCCCCAAAGTACCAATGAAACCCCTCTATTGGACCAGAATCATAGCCACTTCTGACGAACCTGACAACCCTGAAAGATCGAGCGCCCTTTGGAAAGAAATTAATGAAATTCCCATAAACGACATTCCAGATTTCACCGATTTGTTTTCTAGACAAGTAGTAACCAAGAAACCGACAATAAAGAAACAAGAAAGTAAACCTAAAGCAGCTGCTGTTAAGTTGTTAGACAGTAAAAGGTCACAGAATGTGGGTATATTGGCACAAAGTTTAAAAACGGATATTCAGGAAATAGAAAATGCAATCTACAATTTTGATACCTCGGTTATAGGTTTAGAAGCATTGCATCAGATTTATGAAGTGGTATGTACATTTTTAATTAGAAAAGTGGTCACAAAAATATATTTTAAAAAGTACAAGAAAAAAATAAATATTTGGCAATATGTCCGCACAAAAACTTTAATATTAGTGGATTTACACGCAGGTTTATTAACGCATTTTTAACAAATTTAGTTCAATTGAATAATTTTAAACAAAATGGATTAAGTATTTACTCAACAGTTTACTTATACAATGTAAAACAGCTTATTTATATTTTCTAGTATATATATATATATATATATATATATATATATATATATATATATATATATATATATATATATATATATAGAGAGTCGAGAAAAGGAGTACAACCGTCAATCCAATATATCCAATTGGTTTTTCATAATATTCTTTTTAGATCAACTGATGATGATTTCTAATTAGAAAGCGAAACGTCTTAAAGAAATAGATGAAGTAGCCACCTTCTTTGTCTTTTTTCTCCACCTGTTAACCGCAAAACCCACGACTCCTTGAGTGATCATTAATTTATGTATATATATTTATATATATATATATATATATATATATATATATAATATATATATATATATATATATATATATATATATATATATATATATATATATATTTATATTTATATATGTATTGCTATGATGTTTTTTGTTTGTGTATGAGCAATAAATAATTTAAAATAACATATATAAATATAGGGTTTTTATCGCGGTTCTTAAAGAGTTAATGACTATAACTATTATGAGACATACATATCTAATATAGACAATATAAATTTAGAACAACCTATCTTAAATTTGAAATTCTTATAATAATTAAATTATATTAACAAAATTTGGTACCTTTCTATCACTGAATGCCTAAATGAACCTGTTATCCAAAATAAAGGGTATAATCACCACTCAATATCTTCTTTATCAGCCTCGGATATCCTTGTTTTTGTAAAGTTGCTTTTTCCAACCACCTATACCAGAATGTTTTAATTATCAGCTTCTACTAATTTAAAATATTTTTCTTCTTAATAAATTTATAAATGGAAAAAATATTCTTCTTTATTTATTGTTTGTTCTTTGCTTCTTACTTATAATCTTATTTTTTCTTTTTAATTATCTCCAACCACACTGTTTACTATCTGCTTGTACTATTTACTAATCAACTGACTGAATGATTGACTGCTTATTGAATGCACTGTTTTACTGTAACTGTTAACTTCCCAACTGTAACTGTCTTAATAAAAAACAGTTTAATTGTTCTAATTTATATATATATATATATATATATATATATATATATATATATAATATATATATATATAATATATAATATATATAATATATATATATATATATATATATATATATATATATATTTATATATATAGTATAATAACTTAATACTGTGTTAATGCATCCTACTGTTATACTAACTGTCTAATGAATGAATGACCTCTTGCTAAAAATTACATCATATTTATATCTTTTCATCGTTCCCGAATATTCTAGCAACAAACCATGTTCTAAACTCTTCATCTCATCAATTCTCGAATATTCTATTATGCAAATAGGGGGTTAACTTCTTATATTGACGTTTTCTAGAAAATTCTTTACCCTTCTATCGAGAATTTTATGGACATTTAGGCTTTCAGATCAGAATATACACTTATATTTAAACTAAACATCTTAAGTTAATACATGATACTATTTTACATCCGTAATTGTTATTTAAATATCACTTTCTGTTCAAATTCATTCTTCTGTCATTATAATACAGTCTCAATTATTCAGTGTATATTTGGTTGCCTATTCACATGGCTCACTTATTTATATCTTTCATCATATTTATATCTTTTCATCGTTCCCGAATATTCTAGCAACAAACCATGTTCTAAACTCTTCATCTCATCAATTCTCGAATATTCTATCATGCAAATAGGGTTAACTTCTTATATTGACGTTTTCTAGAAAATTCTTTACCCTTCTATCGAGAACTTTATGGACATTTAGGCTTTCAGATCAGAATATACACTTATATTTAAACTAAACATCTTAAGTTAATACATGATACTATTTTACATCCGTAATTATTATTTAAATATCACTTTCTGTTCAAATTCATTCTTCTGTCATTATAATACAGTCTCAATTATTCAGTGTATATTTGGTTGCCTATTCACATGGCTCACTTAAATATATCTATAATATAATTATTAAAATAAAACTTTTTACACTTATTAATATTTGCTAATTTCTTAAAAATACCCTTATATAAATATTTTTTATAATATTCTCTAGTCTATAACTTACAAATTATTTCTTTAATCACTATTTAAGTTTGTCAATTAAAAATCATAATATTCCTATGCTAATTTCTCCTATATCTATTATTATCTTAGTATATATATATATATATATATATATATATATATATATATATATATATATATATATATATATATATATTAGGGTGGGCCGACAAAATTTTTTCTGGAAAATAACAATGCCTGTGGTCAAAAAAGTTGAGTTATACTAAAACACAAATTTTAAGTCCAAAATGAGTAGCTAAAAATATTTTTTTCCACTGCCACAAAGACTCTATATTTTTTTAAGATAAAAGGTGATTGTGGCAGTGGAAAAAATAATAATTATTTCAAACGCAGATCTTTATATTTTTTTATTATATAATTTTTGAAACATCAGGGTTATTTATTTTGTAACTTAAAAAAAATTCAAATAAAATCTGTATTGTTCTGGCGGTTTGATGCATACTTTGTAACGTATAGTAAACTTTATTTGCGTATTTTTCCACTAACTAATAAGTAGAGAAAAATTTATTTTAGGGACCTACTTCAAAGAGTGTGCCGAAATTCCCCAATAACAATAAAGTAGACGTTAGTATAAACAAAGTTAATATTACCGATTAGAATATATTGTCATTCTTAATATAACGTGACATTTGAGGTCAACGCTTCGCTTATGCTGCAGATTTTGCAGTGGTGTAAGTTTAAACCACTATTTCAATCAATTAAACCGCCTAGCGACACTTAAATTATTTTTAGTGTTTTACCGACAGTTGAGTAAAATACCTGTACGATATTTGTCAAGCAGTGAAAAGTGGTGCTTGTTCAGAAAAACTTTCTAAGAGACAGCCTGGAAAAATGGTTCATTCTCGGTGGCTTACCACTGCTTCCTGTATCCTTCGGTTATACGTAGCAACCAGAAACCCATCGGAAAATTTACAAATACTAAGCCATTTTGTAATGAAAGTGTATGCGCCCATGTGATTTTGTATTAAGACTCACCCGTCATGCATTTATGGTGCAAGGCATCTATTCAAGACAATAAGACTCTGCGACTATTTACTACCAGAATTGAAAGACATAGTCTATAAATGTATTCAAAGAAATGGATACTTTGGGAGCCCAGAAAATATTATTTTGGCTATGTTGTTTGATAAACGTAAGCACATAAGACAATTGGGGTTATAAAGAATTTTGAAGAGCAGACAGTTAAATTACAATGATCAGCGACATTTCGTAGTACCAAAATTATTTTTTGGCAGTAAGGATTACTTTGAGATTATCGAATGCAAGAAAGTTTTATGGACAGAGCCTCCTGTAACTATGAAGCTATCAAAAGACCAACTAATGAAGTTGTTGAAAATCCTGAAACCAGTCTTTTGGCATACGTAAAATCATACCCTTGTCACACACAAGCGGCTGAGAGGGCCGTCAAAATAGTAACAGAACGTTCAGCTTCTGTCTGTGGAAGTGAAAAAGGAGACGGTTATATAAGGAACAGGCTGAAATCAAGGGAAAATATGCCGAAATATGAATTAAAGAAAGACTTTTTTTTTAAATAATGTGATTGTTACTTTTGAAAGACATTCTGTTTTGTATCGTTATATATTTATAGATAAACTATTTTTGTATTTGTATTGTTGTATTATGTGTTCAAAACAAATTTAGCTTTAATATAAATTATTTTTTTGTATGCAAAAAATAAATCTACCATACAATACATTTTTTTTTGAAAAATTATTATATATTTTATACAGCGCTGTGGCAGTAGAAAAAAAAATTAGTTGTCAAAAAAAATAATATGATCAAATTTATCGTATAAAACACTTTTTTTGAGTCAAGCAACCATAATAAATTTAAAAAAAAACGAATTTGACATAATATTAAATGATTGAATTTTTTCGTAAAGATCTCGTTCTTATGTAGCTCTGTGGCAGTGGAAAAAAATTAAATTAATTATAAAAAAAACACTGTGAAATAAGTTATCTTATCATACATCTTTTCTGGGGTCAGGCAACTCAATTAAAAAAATAAAATAAAAACACATTACTCAACGGCCCACCCTAATATATATATATATATATATATATATATATATATATATATATATATATATATATATATATATATATATAAATACTTTTTTCTTTTTGGGTGTGGTAGTCAATAAAAAATAGAGCTTTGCTAAGGCGCACTATTTATTCTAAATCAGAGCTTTCGGTGGTTGTTTGCCAACTGTATCAAGGTCTACAATGAAAAATTACTGTGTTATAAACTTTGGCTGATGCAATATAAAAGTTATAAAAACTTACCAGAAAGTAAGATTCATAGCATATAAAACACAACGTTAAATAACATATTATGACATGAATTGCTGAAGGCATTAAAACTGTTAAAAATTTTAAAATAACTTAAAAGTTAATGAATACGTTACAAAGTTTAAAATATAAACAGTAGGACGACATGTTTGACAAAAAAACAGTCGTCTTTGCAGGTTTGAATTTAGTCACATCTCACGAACAGAAAGAGGCAGTAGGAGGAACTATTGTTGTTTAAATAGTTCGATGTAACTACCAAAAACAAACTTTCAAACTGATGTCTAACAAAATACCGTTTGTGATTTTAAGTACTACCAACCATATAACCAACTTTAAATTGAGAGGGAAATTTAAAAAAGTTCATTATGTCAAACAATAAAAAGAAAATAGTATTTAGTAAGTAGGTTTAGAAAAAACAAACAACCAAAAACAAAATGAACCATCTGAATAATAACTGAAGTTAATCATGATAATTATAGCAATTAATAAAGGAATTTAAGAAACAAGACAGGAAACACTCTGAGATGCAGAAGACCTTAGTCAAAAGTCAAAATAAAATTGTAAATTTTGCTTCAGATTGTTGTTATCACTCTTGCTGATATGTACCATTTCTAAGAATGTTCTCTTAAATTTATTTTTCTCTCTGGCTAATATTTTTACATTGTTGAAATCTATCTTATGGTCTAGATCGATAGTATGTTCTGCCAAAGCACAAGTGGGTTTATTTAGTCTACAGTCACTCTTATGAGAAATGATACGACTAGACAGATTTCTTCCAGTTTCTAAAAAGTGAAGTTTTTAATAGTTCAACTTCATCTGGAATTAAATCGCATCGTCTCCAGCTCAATGTTGGAACGATTACTTGTTTCTCAGAAACAGTACACAATAAAAGAACTGTGTAATGGGATACAAATAATAGCTATGGTTTTGAGAACTTATGTCATTCAAGCCATGGATTTAACACTTAAAATGCCGCCACAGTGAAAAAAAGAGGGTCCTTCCAGCCGTAAATATTTTTCCTCTACTTATGTATACACATAATTAGAAACTAATCATATATGTACCCGTTTTTTTCTTTTTAAAAAAACGGTAATTTGCGTGAGTTAGAGATGGGAATCACCATATGGTTCATGTGGTCTTGTTATCTGATATCGTGTATAACAATTTTTTTCCCATTCTCATACTGACTTTGTCTTATAACCTACTGGATAAGGGACTTACAATTTATACAATTTATTACACCAGTATTTCTCTCGCCCATAAATTACAGAGGGTCTTACTATAAAGGGTCTTAAAGATAACAAAAGACCAGGTAACGATAACGTATACGGGGAAGTATTGAAAATGCTGTGCGAAACAATCAGTGAATTTCTAGACTCACTCGTCAGACTCTTTAACAATATTTATAACAGCGGGGAGTTTCATGAAGACTGGCTAGAGTCAACTTTTGTTGCCATACCGAAAAAACCAAAAGCAAAGTCTTGTGATCAAAATCGGATGATAAGTCTAATTAACCACATTTCGAAGGCATACACCAAGGTTATTTACAAAAGAATAAGCAAAAAATGCGAGGATAACATTGGAGATTCGCAGTTTGGGTTTCGGAATTCTCTTGGGACAAGAGGAGCACTTTTTAGTCTACAGGTACTTCTCTAGCGCTGCAGAAATATGAACAAAGACATGTACATATGCTTTATAGACTATGCAAAAGCATTCGATAACGTAAAGCACGAAAAGATAATTGAAGTTCTCCATAAGATCGGAGTCGACTACAGAGACATTCGAACAATAGCGAGTCTCTATTGGGGCCAAACAGCTAAAGTGAAAGTAGGATCTACATTGACCAATAAAATTGAGATCAAGAGAGGGGTACGACAGAGCTGTATCTTGTCTCCTATTCTCTTTAATATATACTCAGAAGTATTTAAGAGAGCGCTGGAGGAAAGCACAGAAAGCATAAAGATAAATGGAGAAATAATTAATAACATAAGGTATGCTGATGACACTGTGATTCTAGCTAGTAGCATGAAGGAACTGAGTTGCCTAATGAGTAGGCACAATACAATCTCAGACAAATATCACAAAAACCAAATGGATGTTAGTAAGCAAAACCCAACAACCACCACAGAAACTGATATTAGACAATGAAAGAATTGAACACTTGGATTCGTACATCTACTTATGAACAACAGTTAACTCAAATTGGGATCAAGCGAAGGAAATACGTATAAGAGTAGAAAAGGCAAGAGTATCGTTCACTAGTATGAAGCAAATTTTCACCTCTGAAAGCCTCACCCTACCTCTCAAAATTCGACTTCTGAAATATTTTGTATTCCTGGTTTTGTTATATGGAATGGAGGCGTGGACAATGACCGCAACATTGATGAAAAAAGTAGAGGCCTTCGAAATGTCTTCTTACCGACGAATATTACCTGGACTGAGCACGTAACCAACGAAGAGGTACTACGCCGGATAGGTAAAGAGAGAGAGGTAGGAATAAGTATAAAGAAAAGAAAGTTGGAATACTTGGGTCACGTTATGAGACATAATAAATATACAGTACTACAGCTGATCGTTCAAGGGAAAATAGACAGCAGAAATGGTCTAGGGAGGAGAAGACACTGGCTCTAAAACTTGCGGCAATGGTTTGGATTGTCATCTGCTGAACTATTCAGATCTGCCGTAAACAAAGCCAGAATAGCCATGTTGATTGCCAACGTTCGGAACGGACAAGGCACATGAAGAAGAAGATAAATTACAGAACACATAAATTACAGAATTACAGTAGTGATTCAAAAATGAAAGACAAACGCGATGTCTATACTCTAAGTAAAAAACTCACTGCCGAACTCATAGAAGACAGCCAAAACCAAAAGTTGTAACTAACTACAATAAACATAAAACATACATCGATCTGTCTGACCAAATGAAAACATACAGTACCTCATTGAGAAAAGAAGTAAAGTGATTTAGAAAGTTAGCAGTTGAACTGCTTGTGGGTGCTACGTAAGTACATTCGTATATGTAACAGCAAGAAGTTTCAAATGAGAAAATGACTATAACAAAATTCAAAGAGAACGTCGCAGTAAGCCTAATAAAGTAACGACAGTCATTTGTTGTAACATGTAAATTCCAGTAAACGTCAATGTGTTGTTTGTTATAAAACTATTGCTAAAACTATTGCTACTGAGTCAAGGTATCTTTGTACTCAATGTAATAAGCATTATTACACTGCCTATAAAGATACCTTTATACGTAATGTTAACGGGGAAGGATATTCCAGAAGTCGTGTGTATCAATAGAATACATTTGTGTTTACAACAAATGTATCATTCAAACACTATCGCGCGAGTTATAGTACAATGACCGCTAGAATCCAATGTATTCGACCAGGCGAATTCAATAAGAAGTTACCGCATTATCAGCACCGAATATTCCGGAGCCTTACAACATCAATTATTGCAAATTCAGAAAGTGGAATTTTTTTAAATAAAGCATTGTAAAACCTCCTTTTTTAGTCTGGCATATATTTTTGTATTTTGACATTCATGTTATAATAATTTGTTATATTTGAAGTTTGAATAATAAATTTTGAGTTGTAACAAAAATCTTCGCTAGGGTAAATAAAAGTAAAAGTTTATTTTGAGTGTTCGTGCCTTTTAAAAAAGTGTTTTTCAAAAGAACATTTATAATTCGTGTTAGAGTTTATTTGCCAAACTCAGTTTTTAGACATAACCAACTGCACTGTCTGGTAAATGTCACTTTGTTTTTCAAGGCTGATTGCGCGTTTGTCACTCGTGTGTATTCTAATACCAGTAGAATCCGTGGCAGAGTTTTGATCATCTTCTAGTTTTTCACAAAGAAAATGTTCGCGAATAAATATATATAAATGAACACTTCTAAAGGTAAATATTTAGTATACTTTTAAGAAATAATTATTATTTCTTTTGTTTTAGAGAGCAAATTCGGAGGAACTGGAAATGATTAAGGCACATTTGGAAACATCGCCTAATATTCCACTAGATAAACCTGAGCAATTTTTGTACGAGTTATCCGAGATATCCAATTTTGCAGAGAGAATATCCTGTCTGATGTTTCAAGTAGAACTAGACGACTCAATAAATACAATTAGTCATACTCTAACCAATATAAAGACAACCTGTGATGTAAGTAACATATTTACGTGTATTTTTATTATGATCTGTAGAAAATAGTGATCTGTGTTAATTTGTCTTGACTTAACTTTTGTTTTATTTCTTGATGAAGTACAAAGTAGGAATATTTAAGAATGATATTCAAGAAATATAAAGACTATAGATTGGCATTATAATAATATATTATAAGAGGTTATAAAAATTTTTCGGAGTTTAACCCTCTCACGCATTAAGTCCACTGCAGTGGACAGATTCTTTTAACTCTAAAAAATGTATTTTATTTCTATGAAACTTGTGCAAAATATCTTTTTCAGTTGACTCTAATCAAGTTAATACTACCGCCATCTACAATATTTATTTTGAAATTCAAAGTTTGGTTATGTTATTATCTATAAATAACCTGACCGCGATGGCAACCTGTGAATTGTTTTAAATAAGTGCCCGTAGGTTTTATGGAAAAGCAAACAAAAAGATAAGAAAATACTTTTTATAGAATTTTGCATTTTACATAATTGACCTTTGTTATGATTTTAAAATAATTGAAAACTCACTAAAAACATCGCCTTGAAGTCATGTCCACTGGACGTTATGCAATTTGTAACTTAGAATTTCACTCTTGTGGTATGTTTTATGAGTAGAATTTTCAGAGGGGTAGTAGCTTTCTTGTTCACAATTTTTGTTTTATTTTCTTGTCAAAGATTTATAATTGATTTGAGGATTTTCGAGGGCATTTTTTTATATACTTACCTATATTATTTTAGTACAAATAAATAAATTTTATTTATTGACATAATATTACTTCTTCAATGGGAAATTTTATTCTATTTCGGAAAATACTTTCTGCCGATAAAAACGACAATAGGGATGAAATATCTATATGTTTACCAGAAAATGAAGAATTTATAGGTATTGACAATGATGACATTATTTATGATTTACCAGAAGATTCAAATTTGGAATCTGATTACAATGACGAAGAGATGTATTCGCTTGAACATGTAACAGCTGAAGACCAAATTGATGAAAATGACTTAGAAGAAATACAGCCAGAAAACAGTGATGATGATATGAGTGAAGATGACATTCCATTAGCTCAGCATATTTTGGCATTTTCATCAAAACATAAAAGTCAAACGAAAAAATCAAAAAAGACTTAGAAAAAAGACTGTAAATGGTGCAATAATGACAACATATATGGGCCAGCAACTTTGCCACAGTTTAGAGGAAGAAGAAAATATTCATGTTCAAGGAAACAATCCCATTAATTATTTTTTATCACTGTTCACCGCAGATATAATGGATGATATCGTCTTTCAGACCAATTTATATGCTGGTCAAAACAATAAATTAAATTTTGGTTTTACAAAATATGATTTATATGATTTCATGGGCATAAATTTAATTAGGTATCCCAGAATACGGCCTTACTGGTCAAGAGATAATGGCCTGAGGATGGATTTTATTGCATATGCTATGCCTGTTAATAGATTTGAATCTATTTTGAGGTTTTTACATTTCGTAAATATTGATAATTTAAATCAAAATAACATGGACAAATTGCGAAAAATCCCACCATTTTTGGATAAAACTCAGAAAAACTTCTTAGGTGCCACTTCACAGACCCAGAGGAATACCAATCAGTTGATAAGCAAATTATTCCACTAAAAGGAAAATTAGGTATAAAGCAATACTTACCAAAAAAACCTAAAAAGTGGAGAGTCAAAGTTTGGGTAAAAACTGGAATTAGTGCATATATGTATCGTTTTGAGGTTTACCAAGGAGCCTCAGGAGACAGAACTCAAATTAGTAAACTTGGAGCGTGTGCTGATGTAGTTTTGGGTCTAACTGACGACTTGGAGAAAATAAGTCATAAAGTATTTTTTGATAATTTATTTTGGTCACTTCCCCTTATCGAAGAACTGCATTAAAGAGGTATATGGGTGACAGGAACTCTCTGATTGAACCGACTACAAAATTGTAATTCTGTTATGAAAACAGATAAACAAGAGAATATGGGAACTTCATCCGTTGCAAGTACTGAAGGTGGCAATATAATTATCTCTAAATGGCTAGACAAGACTATTTATATTGTTTTTGATCGTGCTGGAATAGAACCTAAGAATAAAACAAAACGCTGGTGTAATTCTACTAAGACTACTATAGAAGTGAACCGACCATTTTCTGTTCAGTTTTATAACAAAAATATGAAAGGAGTAGACCTGATGGACCAGTTGTTGGCTCTGTATCTTCTAAGTTGAAGAAACAAACGCTGGTATATAAGAGTTTTTATGCATTTTGTGGATTTTCTTGTTGGAAATGCATGAATTTTGTGCAAGAAAAACGGAAATCCAAAAAAGGATTTGCTTAAATTTAAAGCAAGTATTGCCAGAGCATTAATAATTTTAAGAACACAGAAAGAAAATAAACGAGGTAGACCTTCGTCTGGTACATCACCTCCCATTTTATAGAAGAAACCGAATAATCATGCACCCCCTAAAATTAGACAAAGTATTTGGGGCACTGGCCACAACTAATTAAGATACCAAATACTCGAAGATGTCACTCTAAAGCTTGCAAAAGAAGAACAAAATACATCTGCAAAAGGTGCAACGAGCCGCTGTGTTCATCGTGCTTTGAATAATTTCATATCAGTAACTACCGCTTCCGTGATTCCGCAAGTGCATAGTGACCACTAGAGTGGACGGACTATTTTTTAGGTCTTAAAAAAAATTTTGTTTTTTTACTTAATATATTATTTTCTAATGTTAATTTTTAAATTTTTTTCAATCAACTAATTTTTCTAAGAAAAAAATGTTTCCGTAAAATTATGCATGAGAGGGTTAAAGCAATTTTCAATTTTAAAATCCACTCTTTTATATCGTCTAACGCTGTTTGTAGGTTGGTTACCGATATGTCTATGTTGCGGTGTTTGACTGCTATCGTTATGTTGTTGGCCTATAGACTATAAACTTTCTGGTGTTCTTGGAACATCGGCTGTGCATATTGTGATTAGCAGAGATGGCAGGACCGCTTCCTGTAGAACTCGAGCCTCCGGGTTCCTGAGCCTGGACGTAACTTATCCTATACGAAACCTGAAACTCCGGTTGTTCAAGTACGAAGAGATTAGTCTCGTCATTGCCCCGCTATATCTGTATCTTCTCATTTTGAAAATTAGTCCTTTATGCCAGACTCTGTTGAAAGTTTTGCTTACGTCTAGGAAGGCAGCTCCTGTATATTGTCTGCCGTTAAGCCCAGCTGATATGTATTCTGTTAATATGAGTACTTGTAGCTCGCTGGTGTGCTCTGATCCAAAACCGAACTGTTCTTCTGTCTGTTTAAGCTTGGAGTATACTGAAGTATAACTCTCTCTAGAATCTTACTGATTGCAGGTAATAAGCTTATTGGCCTGTAATTTTACGGGAATTTACTGTCTTTTCCTGGCTCAGGTATCATATTGATATGGGCCTCTTTCCATTGGTTTAAGATTTTTTTGAATCTTAGCATCGCATTGATTATCTGCATTAGGGATACTATGACTCTCGCTGGTAAGTATTTTAGAGCCCTGTTTGTTGTTTGGTCTGGTCCAGGTGCTTTTTTGGTGAGCTATTTTTAATTGAACTTGTTTATCTCCTCCGATGTTGTTTGAGGTATTTTTTGTTTGTATTCCTTATTACCTCTGCTTTTTACTCAGTGTGGTATACTATTCCGTTTTCTCATTATATTGGAGAGATTGATTTTCTATCTTTTCTGAGTATTCTTTGGAGTCTTCAAATATTTTGTATATTTGGGCCTTGTTCCTTCATGTCTCGAATTTGTTTTTCCCAGCTTTGAGGTTTTCCCAATGTGGTGTTGCTGTAGTGCTGTCTTGATCTCTCCGTTTAGTCTCTTTGCTTAGTTTTTGTCCATCTGGTTCCGAAACCGCCCTCTGTTGTTCTTCTCACTGTCTGTTTTGCTCTTTTCTGTTGCCTTATCAAGACCTTTATTTATTGTGGTATGTCTTTAAATCTTCCCATGTGTATATCTACTTCCTCTTCTGTAGTGCTGTTTCTGAATACTTGTTGAATGATTTTTTCAAACTCTAGGACTCTATTCTCCAAGGCTTGGGGGTTGTCTATCACTAGGTTCATTTTACTTAGCTATAGTAAGTCGTTAAATACATTTTCGCTGAGTTTTTCTGAATATACAAAAACCACCTTTTTGCCTTTTTCTATTGCAAATTCACGTCTTGTTTATCAATTTGTTTTATTAATAAATACGTCTTTGGCATTGAACTAAATCCAAGTTATTTCCAACCGAATATTTTTTAATAATTAAATTTAACATGGATATTAAAAAATCTGTGTATGGATCCTTATACACATTGTACAGAGATAGAAAGAGATATTTTTAAGATCTTTCATCGCATCGTGTACAAAGTAGTTAAAAATTATTATCGTCATAATTTCTCCTTATGAAAGATCTTTTAGCAGTAGCAATAAGACTACCAAAGAGAATTAAAGTACTATTATAAAAATAATACCTCAATCAACCATGAGAGCTTATCGTCAACACCTTGCCTAGCTCAGTATCTGAAGTGTGAATTCGTTTTGTCTTAAATCAGGAATTAAACCTGAACGCTTAGCTGATGGCAAATAAAATAATTTTTAACTAATCATTTTTATTTAAAAAATAAAAAAAAACAATCAACCCTGCCAATGATTAACAATGAATTAGTGAGGATGATACTTATGGCATCGATGCGCTGTTTGTGTGGCCTCCCAATTAGATGTTAGGTCCTCCAGAGAGCTGCAGGTATACTATGTGAGTGTAGCCTCCCAATTAAGTGGTTAGGTCCTCTAATGGTCACTAAATTTTTATAATGCGACCAATTAACCGTGAATATGGTTAATTAATTCTTGAATATGGCCTATATGGTTTTGAATAAAATCGTCAATAAACCCAACAGAATGTTGCAGACCATAAAATGAAGGTTATTATAATTCCTACCTTCTTTTATAAATTTCAATTATAAACAAAAAATAATCCCAACATTAAAGGAGATTGACAAAAAGTAGGAAGGCACTGCATGAAGTTAGCACAGATATCATAGGATATTCCTATATGATAGAATTAGCTTTTCTGTCAACATAGAACAGAATATTTAGTCTACCGGACAGAAAGAAAGAGGGCAAATATTTGTTCTACGGGACAGAAAAAGAGAAAAGAAAGACAGATGGCGCCAACTACTTTATTAAGACAAAATAGTAAAAACGAATCTGGAGATAAAGGAATTAATAAAGAAATTAAAATAAATAATTATTTATTCTGAGAAATTAAAATAAATAATAGAATAAATAATTATTTATTCTATTATTCTTATATATTAGTAGCTATTCTGCCTACCTCCTCAGATCAAACAATGGTCGGGTTCTTACACCCGCACCATGACAAAAAAATTTTTTCAATTTTTTTAACGTGTTTGTGAAGTCCAGTGTCGGTTTTTTATATGTTTTTTTATATGTTCTAAGAATTGCAACAAAATCATAATTTGGAAATATAAGGAAATGAGATCTCTCCTTTGTAGTGGTATTTACAAAATTGACCATAGCTCTGATGATGGCTTTGTAAAGCCGAAAGCGCTCAGCTAGGAATTGCCTAAAATATACACACTTCAAAAATACTTTTTACATTTTCTTTCGACTTGTCATAAGTGTGTACAAAAAATATCAGTCTTTTGATTTTTAAATAATTATTTAAATATAAATTAATAAAGATGTGACGTCTATAACGTTGTAACGATAAGAAATTTTGTTACAACGTTACAACCATAAAAATAATTTAAGTGACAAATTCAAACGTACGAGAAAAACTAGTTTTTCTTTTTCCTCCAATTGTTTACTTTATCAATGAATTCACATATCATTTGTGAGGTTCATCTTTGTTCCTAATATTTTAATTTTTTTTCACAATTTTACGAAAACATTTATAGAATAATATTATTTTACAAATTCCTCTGCTAACATTACATTTTCTACATTCTAACATTTATACTAACATTCAATATTTGGTTTTTAGTTTTTAATGAACAACCCCGAACTAAAAGAAATAATGGCGATCATATTAACCTTGGGAAATTATATGAATGGTGGAAACATGGCCAGAGGACAAGCAGACGGGTTTGGTCTAGAAATTTTGTCCAAACTTAAAGATGTTAAATCGAACGACTCCAAAATTACACTTCTTCACTACGTTGTCAAAGTTTATATGAAAAAAATTAAAAACCCCTTCGAAGCCAACCTGCCTCTACCGGTACCTGAACCTGGTGATATTAGACGAGCAGCTGCTGTTAACTTCGATGATGTAAGGTTGGATCTAAAGAAGTTACAAAAACAATTGGAAGGTAAAATATTCATCTATAGTCAGTTAAGGTCTGTACGTTACTGTATGTATTTTAACAATTTTTTTTGCAATTAATGTCGTCGGTTTGTTATTAGATTCTACCACAGTTCCTTTTGGACTAAGACTAAATAATTCTTCATACACAATTCTAATCTGCCTGGGCTAGGCTCTGCTCGTTTCACCCTTTTTATTGCTTATTTGTCTTTCTCTCACCTTTTCATAATTCTTCTAACTTTCTGGATTGGCTACCGAGTAGGACCTCCACTCGAGTTTATTCTATAGCTTCATTCTTCCTTGTTTCCCTGAAACAAGGAATTCTTTATTCGCCCATTGATGATATATTGCATTAAAGTTTTCCCAGTTATTTAACCAGTCGGTGACTAAGGTTAAACAGCTGTTCTTAATCCGTTTTTCTGAAAACTGCAGACAAATTTAGTTGAATTAGGCCAGGTCGAACCTGGATGAAAAATCTTAGTCGCAATCAGAGTATTCCGGAGTAATGTTCTTATTTCATTTTAATTGAATTTACTATTTTTATTGCCAATTATCCACAATTTTTATAGTTTAAAAATAATTTCTGAAGTGGAAATTGAACCTTTAATTTATATACGCATAAATATACGCATTTTAAACTGAAATTGTAGTTAATTACCATTAAAAATAGTAAATAACAATCAGAGGTTATTGTAGTATTTTTAATAATCTAATTTATTGTTTTTATTTATTATCAAAAATTCTACATTTATAACACTTACAAGTTGTTTTAAAGTCTTTATTTGTAATAATTTATCTCACACTAATAATTAAATAATCTATTTACAATACGCGCGTTAAATTTAAAAACTCGACGCGATATTATCTTCCGACTAACTAACTGTCCTTAAATAAAAGGTTCCCCTATTTAAATAAAATGCCGTTACTCGAGAGTTCCGGCTATTCTCGTTGACTAGACTAAAAGGTCAATCGGACTGATTTTCATTCGACCTGCTTCTGGAACCTTCGAATCATAGGAGATCGGTCAGGTATTACCTGGAATTTTTTGCCGGCTAACAATCTAGAACATATCGGAATTAGAAAGAATATGTTTACAGTTTTTATGAGTCATAATATTTTTATCGTAACATTATTTTATCTTATTGTGGTATGTAAAAAAAAATGAAAACAGCATTTTCAAACTTGAAAGTCGGTTTTCGGGTAGAATATCTGTAGTTCCTCATTTAGGCCTTTATAAGTATTCACTTTATGCTGTATTTTTTACTAAGGGTTATTTTGCTTTTTAAGGGTTTTAAGGATTTTCCTTTGCTGGACTCCAAGCCTGCTCTAAAATGTGTTAATGAAAATAAAGGTAATTGTTTAGGCAGTGTTCATGGAATAAAGGTGACCGTTTGGATAGTTTCCCTGGTCAGACTTATAGTGCTCCAACGAAAAACATATTGACTTTTTGTTTACATAGTAATCGTCGAATTATTTGGCTACTACTTGAAATTTCTGGGACCCAAGCCAGTATGAGTTCATCTCTTTTATTGATATATTTTCTCTTCGCTGCTGTGACTTTCGTGAAATTGTAAATTGTAATTTGTTTATCATTCATTATTCTGGCTTTACAACCATGCGTGGGTTCTAATCTCCTCAAGAATTTCTCTCTAGTCGTTCCTATCCATCGCCTTCCTCCGTCAAACACGTATTCCCATATTTCTCATGTCTTCATCGATGTTACCAAGGAACCTCGTTTTGTGTCTTCCTCTTCTACTCTGACCAATAGGTCTATCAAGGAACGTTTTTTTAGCTGGGTTATTTTGTTCCATCTGCATTACATGATCTATCCACCTCAGACGTCCTATTTTAATGTTTTACTATATCTGGTTCCTGGTATATTCCATAAAGTTCGAAGTTGTATCGTCTTCTCCACACTCCATTGTCATTCACTGCTTCATAGTTTCGCCATAGTACTTTTCTTTGGAAACATCGTAACATGTTTTCATTGTTTATGGTTCAGAGTCTAGGTCTCTGAACTATATGTTAGAACTAGACGTATCTTTTGCATAGATTAATTTGTTCCTTTCTTGGTATAATTGTGGACTTAAGGAGAAATTTGAGCCCAAAATAGCACTTGTTGGCCGTGAAAATTCAGGAGTTTATCTCTGGAGTAGTAGTATTTTCAATGTTAAGGAGTACTCCCAGGTATATAAATTCGTTCACTGCTTCGATGACGTCGTTTTCTATAACAAGTGGTATAGAAAATAGTTTGTGTAAAAAAAGTTGTTGCGTTTTGGTTAAAAAAAAATTGTGTTTAATGTTAGTGAGAGTTCCCACCAAACTGGCATGGCAAGTGGCAAGTAGCAAGTGGCACGCGTCTAGCATGTTACTTAAAATGTAACTAATATAAACGAATGATTGTAATGAATGACGTCACTTTCATTTTGTGTACTGAATGATTCCTTTTTATTATTTACATTTTAAGTAACATGCTAGATTCGCGGTACTTGCTACTTGCCACTTGCCATGTCAGTTTGGTGGGCGCTCTCCTTTAAACCCATTTTTGTAGCTCATTTTTCGTACAGCGTTTTCCATTCTTCCAACAGTATTGATATCACCAGCATAGGCCAGTATTTGCATTGATTTATTATATATTACACCAATGGTTGTGATTCGTGACATACGTATTACTTTTTCCAGAGCCAGATTGAACAGTATACAGGATAGAGGGTCTCCTGGCGCAGCCCGTTATTTGTTGTAAAAGGTTTAGATAGATCGCCTGTATTCGTATTCTACATTTAACTTTTTCAAGAGTTAGTTTTGTTAAATCTACCAACTGATTTGCTCTGTCTAGCTCTTTCATTGTTTTGAAAATTTCTTTTCTATTCACAAAGTCGTATGCTGATTTGTAGTCTATAAATATGTGATGAGTATCAATGCCTTATTCCAGTGTTTTCTCTAAAATTTGTTTTAGGGTTGCAATCTGATGAGTTGTCGATTTACTACCTCTGAAATCAGCCTGGTATTTCCTACTATCCGTTCTGTATATGTTGCCATACAGTGACATAGTACTGTCGAAAATGTTTTATACGCTGTATTTAGAAGAGTAATTTCTCTGTGGTTATAACATTCAAAGATATCATCTTTTTGTGTATGGTGGAAAGTATTCCAATATTTCAGTCATTGTGGAGGGATTTATGTGTCCATATTTCTGTTATAAGCTGTTGTAATGTCATTATGGTATCGAGGTCATCGTCTTTATAGAGTTCAGCTGGAAGATTATCTGTACTGGGTGATTTGTTTCTGTCTAATTTTTTAACTGCATCATTAACTTCAAGAATCCTTGGTGGTTCCTCTTTTCTGTCATCTCTTGACCAACATAATCTTTGTTCATCTCCTGTATATGTGTATCTTTTTATTTTTTTAACTATAATATCTTATATTTTTAAGCTTCTTTTTGTTTTTAGTCTGTGAACAGAAGACACAAAGGATAATAGAAACATCTTCGCCGGAAAATCTCCAGCCATTTAAAGATAAGATGTCTGTTTTCCTAGACCATTCGAAGAAACAGTTGGCTGCTGAATGGGACACGCTGGAAGACTGTCATAAACAATTTATAGCTACTATGAAATTTTATTTATTTAAACCCAAATCCGGAAGTTTAGAGACATTTGCTCCCAATATGTTCTTTGAACTCTGGTTGCCTTTCTGTGATGATTTTAAAAATATATATAAAAAGGAGCTAATGCGATTAGAAAAGGAGAAGTAAGTATATATCGCCATATTATTTCAATGTATTCTTCTTTTTCTTCATTTTCCATTTAAGATGCTTAATAGGAAGGCCGTCGTATCAAACTATGTTCTATCATTAACCTTCCCAAAAAGATTTATTCCTTTTGCATTTTACTTAAATATAACAATATAAATACTAAAAAACAGATATTTCCTTATGGATAGTTTAACGATTTCTCCTGGCTCCTTTTTTTCTAACCTTTGGTTAGAACTACAATTCTCTGATGTACTCAATTATCTCATCCCCACTAATCTTTTGAATGTCTACTTTTTTGCCCATATTATGACGTTTTCTTCGTTAGCTTGGATTAAATTTTGGTTTTCTGCTTGCAACTGATTTTCGCTAAATCATAAAAAACAGATATAAAAAAATTGATTAACTAGAAATGTAAGTACTCACCCCAGAAAAGATTTAACAATATAAATGAATTTTAAATAGAGAAATTCCTTTTTATACATGAACAGCAACTTACTTTTTTATTTTAAAATACAACTGACATGACAATTGATTAAGAGTATCCAACTGACATATATACCTAACCAACTGAAGTGAGGCATAGAAATTTAAATCTCGTTCAAAAGGTGAAAATAATAATATGAGAAAAAGACCTTACAGCAATGATCTCAGCCGGCAGCTCAAAGTACGAATACTCAGTCAGAAGTTGGGTGGATATGGATATAGTTACAAACCACGACGTTTGGAATACAGTAAGGTCTCTTTTTATGCGGAATATTTTTATGTAATTTTAAAGTTGTGAGGTTTGTATTTCATCAAAAAATTTCTATTATTAAACATTATAATTAAATATTACCTATTCACATTCATATATTTATGAAACTGGCTGCTATGCCCAACAGTGGTTACGCTCTACCTTTATTCCCCGGCCCAAGAAAGTCAATGCAAAAAGATGTGAGGATCACAAACTCATTAGCCTGATGAGTCACACTTTAAAGATATTCTTAAAAATACTACCACCACCACAAGTTAATGCAGATCCTCAAGAAAGTTGATATAGACCAAAAAGACATAAGATGCATTGAAAACTTGTACTGGCATCAAACGGCACAGTTAAAAATAGACAATTCTATATCCAAACCCATACATATAACAAGAGGCGTTCGACAGAGATGTGTGCTTTCCCCTCTTTTATTTAACATTTATTCGGAAGCCATATTTCAAGAGTCTTTGGAGGATGCAGAGATGGGAATCAAGGTGAATGGAGTATTGATCAACAACATACGATATGGTGATGATGGTGTCTTAATTTGTGACAATATAGTCGATCTTCAACAACTTGTCACTAATCGGAGAATACAGTAAGCGAATAAGATTAGAGATTAATACCAAAAAGGCCAAATTTATGATCATCTCCAGAAACTTAGATGCACTTGAAAACTCCACCATAATACTGAATACTAAGTCCATTGAAAGAGTGAGTAAATTTAAATACCTGGGATCGTGGCTTTTTGAAGACTGGGCATCGGACAGGGAAGTAAAATGTCGCATTGAGCAAGCTCGACAAGCTTTCGTAAAATTCAAGAAAGTACTGTACTGACATGTTCAGAGTTTGATCTTCAACTGAGACTAAGGTTTACTAAGTGCTACGTATGATCAGTGCTGCTATATGGCGTAGAGGGCTGGACACTCAAAACGAGGGATATAAACAGATTAGAAGCTTTCGAAATGTGGCGAAATCGCCGTATCCTAAAAATACCATGGACAGCAAAAATCACAAATATAGATGTCCTTAAAAGAATAAACCAAGAACGCCAACTTTTTGAAACCATCAAGAAAAGGAAAACGGCGTATCTAGGTCACATCATGCGAAATGAAAAATACCAGTTCCTCCAACTTATAAGCGAGGGTAAAATTGAAGGCAAGAGAGGAATGGGACGCAAGAAAATGTCCTGGCTCCGAAACATAAGGCAATGGACAGGGATTAACGACATACAATCTCTGATACATATTGCAAGAAATAGACAATTAATGGAAAATGTGATCGCTAACATCCATTCGTGGATTTGCATCTGAAGAAGAAGAAGAATTCACATCCAGATGTCAGTAAAGTGAGCGTTTGCAATTCGGAGATTCCCTGGTTACATGATGTCTCTATTACATCATTGCGAGTTTCGCATTGAAAGGTACAAACTGTTAATATTTTGAAATAATTTGTCTCTTAACGATGCTTGGTTTTATAACCAGTTGTTTAAGTTGTTTCAAATTTTGCTGATTCCAAGTTGCAGTATAATAAGCAGCACGGTGTTCGGTTTAAAACGTTTCAAGTGAGTGTCGCTAAGTTTTATTTGTCATTAGAAGAGAGTTTTGCCATCTTAATATTGTAAGTCAATTTTTTTTAATTGTTTTTTTAAGATTTTATTTGGCCTAATGGAGAACCAAAACATCTAAGACAATCAGTTTCTACGAAAATTGCAATTTTAGATCGCTCAGGAAAAGTAGAAGGATCTCAGTGAACTGGAAAACATTTTAATTTGGGCGAATCAACTATAAGAGCAATTATGAAGAATGAAGTTGCTTTAAGAAAATCTATAATTTCTGGTACAAAATTAAGCGTAAAATTTTCATCTTACTCAGGATGTATTATTAGAAGGAACAGAAAGAGCCATCGCAATTTGGAGTCAAAGAAGACTTCCTGTAAGTGGTTATTTAATCCAGCAAAAAGCTCTTCAGTTCTATAAGTTAATGAAACAATCAGAGTCACCAACTTCCACTTCCCAAACTGGTAAAAAGTTTTCACCTAGCAAAGGATATCTAACTGGGTTTATAAAAAGAAATGCACGTCATAATATTAGGATTATAGAAGAAAGTGCTACAGCAGATGAAGCAGCAGCAAAAATATTTTAACAGGAGCTAGCAAAAATTATGAAAGATGAGAACTATTGTACTGATTAAGTATTTAACGTTGATGAGAGGGGACTGTATTGGAAAAAAATGCCTAAACGTACTTACATCGGCCAATGCATTGGATGGCTAACAAGAAAGCCTGAGTGACAACAGCTATTTTTACAAAATGGTTGAAAAATTGCTTCGTATAAGAAGTAGAAGCCTATATGAAAGAAAAATCTTTCAATTTTAAAGTTTTATTAATTATTGGCAATGTAGACTTAGAACATCCAATCGTTCAAATAGTATTTCTTCCGCCTAATACGAGCCTTACTCAGTTATTAGATCAATGTATAATTGCGTGTAACGTTATAAAAACGTTATATATAAAAACATTATAAACGTTTAAAACATATTACATAAATACAACTTATGAATCCATCGTAAGTAAACTAGAAAATGAAGTCTTAAAAGAAAAAGACGTGTGAAAGCAATTTTTATATTTTTAAATGTTTGATTCCTGATGAAATGCCTGTTAGAAAACGGTTTGGCCAGCATGTGTAAAAAGCAATGCAATTATTGAAACATCGACGTTATCAGATGAAATAAATAATTTGGCACATGATATTGGAGGAGATTGTTTTAATACCTTCAGCGACTATGATATAGATAAATTTCTTGTGGATGATGCAATTAGTGACAATGATATAATTGATAAAACTTTAGATCTAACTTAAGATAGCGTCGTTAGTCTAGAAGATAATAATGATGAGGAAGAAAAACCAACCCTCGTCACTGCCAAATTATTTCGAGAAGGTCTTTAACTTTGCAGTACATTGGAAAATCAATTTCTTATAAATGACCCCAATTCTGAACGAGCCTTTAAATTACAACGTGAGCTACAGAAATATGTGTCAGGATATCGTGAGCTACATTAAAAATTACTAGCATCATCATCGCAAAGTTTAATTGAATTGGTTATTTCGAAAAGGCCACATCTCCATTAATTTCACAAAATGGGTTAACTTTGCCATTTTGTTCAGAATATCCTTTAAGTTTTATTACACATGAAAACGCCACATCTCCGGTGTACGTTACTATTAATCTTGACAGGCGTATTTCTCTGTTTATTTCGAAAAGGCCATTTCTCCGGAGATGTTTTTGAAACAAACTGCAAGCGCTGGACATGTGATTTAGTGGAAAAAACACAAGGAAAAGAGAGAAAGGTATTATTAATCGGGCCCTGTATAAAAGTAAGGTTATTAAGAAGGCTAAATTTAAGGGCCAAGCCCATAATAATTACGTAAGAAAACAAGTTATGGCGCAAAAAACTGGAATCGACTGTACTTGTCGCAAGGAGTATTGGTACATTTTTCAGAAACGGACAAGAATGCATACTTACAAAATATGTTCGAACTAACTCCCATTAAGAGAATGAGAAAATCTCAGAATGCCATTAAACGTATTGATAGACCCAATAATTTTTTGTTTCATGTTTGTATAAAAGGAGTACGTAAGCAAGTATGTAAGACAGCTTTCTTAAGTTTATATTGTGTTGGCGAAAAGCATGTCAGAAGACTATGCCACCTACTAGTGACTGGATCCACTCCAAGAGATAATAGAAGTAAATCTGTTAAATCTGGGCATAATTTAATACCAGATGAATTGTGCTATCAAATACGTGAGCACATACAATCGTTTGATATAAAGGAAGTCCATTATGATAAGATATTAAAAAAGTATTTACCTGCTACTTTGGATGTCAAACAAATGCATAAAATGTTTATCAAAAATTATTGTGTGTGTGTGTGTCATCGAATTTCCTGACTGTGGACTTAATCCATTAGCCGAACTTATTTTTGCTCTACAGATATTTATGTCACATATTACTATTAAGATAAGATTTTGTATTTTAAAGATATACCTAGATTCTATAACAATAAATGAATAATTTAATCTTCAGTTACAATCATACATTATTACACATTGATATAGATATATCTATATCATAAAATATATTCTAGTATTACTCAACATTATTCTTTATTGTATGTTTTTTTGTTTTTTATTATTTTTTTTTATATATATATATATATATATATATATATATATATATATATATATGTATTTT